GCAGTTTTTTGGTTGCCTCTATTCAGTCTGAAGTGGCCCTAGTTTAGAGTAATATTTTAAGAGTCATTTCAGAGTTCTTATCTTAGGGTAACTTTGGAGTTAGGGAAGGAGGCCTGGGCTAGGATGCGGCTTGGTATAGTTCCTCATTGTGAGTCTATGGCTATCATTACATCTTGCCTAAAGTAGTAGCAACATTTTTTATTTCAGCTGCTTTAGAGTTTGAACAGGAAAACTATCCCAGCCCCTGGTATGGTCAGGTAGCCTGGCTCTACCTACACGGAGGGCTTTAATTTCTATTGACCTGAGCAGAGCAGAACTCTGGGTCACACAGCCTCCTTCAGTACTTGAAGCCCAGTAGGCTTATAGCTGTGACCTGCTCAGTGCTTTTTTCCATTTTACATGGGTGCTTAGCTGGCTTTGATTCTGACTACGTCATTTATACCTTATATTTTTATATTTTATTCATCATTGCTATTTGTCTGGAGCAAAGTGGATATATCATAATCTGAACCCATGCCTTTTTTCCCCCCTTTTCTTATTTTTTTATTGTGGTAAAAATCATATAAAATTTACCGTTTTAATCATTTTAAGTGTACATTGCAGTAGTGTTAACTATATGTACATTGTTATGCAACAGATATCTAGAACTTTTTTATCTTGCAAACCTGAAACTCTATACTCATTGAATAATTACCCCCTTTTCCTCCTCTTAGCCTCTGGCAAATACCATTTTACTTTCTATTCCTGAGTTTGACTACCCTAGATGTTTCATACAAGTGCAATCATGAAGTATTATCTTTTTATGACTAGTTTATTTCACTTAAAGTGATGTCTTCAAGATTCATCCAGTTGTAGCATATGGTAGGATTTCTTTCTTTTTAAAGGTTGAATAATATTCCTCTGTATGTGTAGACCACATTTACTTTATTCATTCATTTGTTGATGGACGTTTAGATTATTTTCATATCTTGGCTATTGGGAATGATGCTGAAATAAGCATGGGTATGCAAATATCTCTTTGAGATCCTGTTTTCAATTATTTTGGGTATATAATAAGAAGTGGAATTGC